ATACACTAATTTTATCCTGGCCCTCATTGTCAACACCTGACTGAAATAAGCTATTGGTCTTTGACTCTGCGTGAGAACTTGCTCCCAACCCATAGCTTAATGCATCAGTCTTCACTACAAATGGTTGGATGAAATCTAATAGTGCTTACTTAGGGACACTTGTCATAAATTTCTTCAGCTGCTCAAATGTCTGGGTGGTTATCTCCCCCCATTTGAAACTATCATTCTTCAATTACTTTGTCAACGACCATGCTATAGAGCTGTATCTCCTCACAAACTTCCTATAATACTCAGTGAGTCCCAAGAATCCCCTCAACTCCTTTAGGGTTTTGGGCAAGGGTCACTCCAACATAACATTTATCTTGGAAAGATATGCAGCTACTCATCATTTAGGCACCACATGTCTCAAATACTCCACCTTTTGTTGTGCAAAAGAACACTTCTTCAAATTGGCATACAATTGATGCTCCTTCATTGTTACTAACACGACCCTCAAGTGCTCCACATGCTATGCCTCAGACCAACTATATACAAAAATGCCATCGAATAAAACCAATACAAACTTGCGGAGGTATGGCTTAACATCTTGTTCATAAGTAACTGGAAGGTAGTTGGGGCTTTGGTAAAGGCATCACTAAAAACTCGTAGTGACCTTCATGATTCCTGAAAGCAGTCTTGTGGATGTCAGCGGGCTGCATTCTGATCTGATGGTATCCTAATTTTAGATTAATCTTGGAGAATATCACCGCTCAATTTAACTTATCCATCAACTCATCAATGACTGGAATAGGAAATTTATCCAATACCGTTTTCTTATTCAAAGGTCGATAATCTACACAAAATCTCCAACTTTCATTATTCTTCTTTACCAGCAACACAGGACTGGAGAATGGACTAACATTGGGACGGATGATTTGGGTCTCCAACATCTCCTTAATTAGTCTCTTAATTTTATCCTTCCGAACCTGTGGGTATCGGTAGGGTCGAACATTGATAGGGGATATCCCCTCCTTCATGATGATGTCATGCTCGCACTCTCTTGAGGGAGGTAGGCCCTGAGGCGATGGAACACCTCACTGAATTGTTGCAGGAATGGTGGACTATCTATGGAACTTCCTCCTCTCTCTCCATGCTTCTGTTAGACCGGTCCACTGGACCGGTCCAGCCGGTCCAGGCGGGACCGGTTCACGGGCGAATATCGCGAAACAGGCGATTTGTTCGCCTGGGCGGAGGCCGCGCGCACCGCACGCCTTGCGGGAGCCGAATAGGAAGCTTTTTTGGGGAAATTAAGAGGGGAATTTGAATGTAGGGACTGTTTAGGGATTTCCTTTTGATTTGTATGCATTAAATAGTAGATTTTCCTAGGGTTTGGGCATCTGGAATTTGGCTGAAATTTGAGATCCCGTAGATTTAGGACTTCTTTGGGCTCTAGCTGCGTCTAGAGATTTGGGAGAGATCGATCCTCCTCTCGAATTGAGGATCAATTGTATCTTGCTCTTTTATTCATCGTCTAAGTGGAATACAAGTATTTTCTTTGAGTTTTCTCTCAGATTTCCTTGTTGTTTGCTGTTTTTCTGCTGTAAACAGCAGATTTCTGCTGTATTTCTGCTGTGGACAGCAGTTTCCATCGGATCAACTTCAGTTTTGGTGAGAAACACTTGGGAACTCAAGTGTTTCCTATCAGCTTCCCCCTCCCTCAAGGCTCTGAAGCTCCCCCAAGAATCTTATCCCTGCTCCTTGGATTGCCCTCATCATGGTCTTAAGAGAAGCCCTGGTTTTGGACAAACTAGAATCCCCCATAATCCTCACCTTCCCCCCTCCCATCATGGATTTCATAGACAATGCTTTCCAATCCACCATTGTTTCTCTCAATGTTTGCAACCATTTCATGCTCAAAATTATATCTTTGCTCCCTAACTCCAATGGAAGAAAATCATCATTCATCTGAATCTCCTGCAGTGTTACCATCAACCCTGGGCAAATGCCTCTACTCTTTTCCTTCTTTCATGTTCCCTTCATCACCCTAAAACAATCCGGTTTGACTAGCCTCAACCCCAATCAATCCACAACCTGGTTGGAGATGAAGTTATGGATCGCCCCACTGTTCACCAGAACTACAACTAATTCTCCTTCTATCTGTCCCCTCACCTTCATGGTGTGATTTGAAGTAAACCCCACCACTGTGTTTAGGGAGACCTCCGCCACATCTACGTGCAAATGCTCCGCATCCTCATCCACCTCCTCCTCTAGAGTCTCCTCTCATCACAAACTGTAAGTACCTGCAGTGAATAGTCCTTGTAGCGATGGTCTTGTTCAAACTTCTCATCACAACAGAACCACAATCCCCTTGTCCGCTTCTTCTAAACCTCTGCCTCAGTTAGCTTCTTGAAATTTCCCCCTGGTCGTGCTCCCAATCCCCTATCCTTAGATATTTCTCTCTGAATGGGCACAGGCTGTACCTTTGGTGCCAAAAAATAGTCTTCATCCGATATGAAGCTCCCAAACTATTATCCTTGCTTCTTCTCTCAAGTGAGTTTTTGTCCTCCACCAACTTCCATAGCCTCCCCCAACCTTTGTGGCCTTAATAACCGAACAATAGCCTTAATCTCTAGCTTGAGCCCTTCATGAAATTCCCCTCCAAAATTATCTCAAATAGTTTCCCCAACCGACTAGAAAGGTACTCAAATCTCTCCCAATAATTAATCATTGTCCCTTTCTGAACTAAAGCAAAGAATTGCTTGTCAAAGTCTCCTTCCCGACTGATTTGGAAACGTTCTAATAAACTATCTTTGAACTCCCTCCACAATCGGATTGGATCTCTCATGTCTCTCCACTAATACCAAGACAAGGCCTTCCCCTCCAAGCATAAAGCCGTCGTCGTGAGTCTCTCCTTCTTTGTCAGCCCATTCACTGCAAAGTATTTCTCCACACTATAGATCCACCCAGGAGCATCTTCCCCCTAAAAAATGGGCATCTTCAACTTTCTCACTCTCGGATCCCCTCCGCCCCAACTTCCTCTTCCACCTCCAGCTTCTCCCATATAGCAATTGTTGTGATCTCTACATTGTTTTCTCCCGCCCCTCCTCCTTTCATAGATAACATCTTCCTCAAAATTAGCCCTCCTTGTTTCTTCCTCCAAATTTCTCCTCATGTTATATCCATCACCCATTTCCCTCCTGGTTATCGGTTCAACAGGTGGCAAGCTTTCCCTGTTGCCCAAGATTTCTACCTCTCGATCCTCCCTCATTATGCCGATATTGGGGTTTCTCGCACTTCCTTGGCCACCCGCCGATGCCCTCGCCTCCGATGTTGTCGGTTGGGTGTGAAGCTTCAATATTTTCTTCATCATATCCTCTAAGTTAGAAAACCTTCCTTCCATAGATGAAATAATTTCCTCAACTTCAGATTTGAATCGACCAACTTCTCATGCTAGTTTCTCTTCCAAAGTGTTAACTTTATTTGGTGTCATAGGTCTTGAATCGTGCTCTGATACCAATTTGATAGGAATTTGTCCTCCACACAACAAAAATAACAAGAATAAGATAAAACATATCAAACATCAACGAGAAAGATGTTTATTTTAGCATAACAAAGCAAGATACAAGTTGATCTACTATTTGAGAGGTTGATTAGCTCTACTTATTTTGAATTCAAATATGTCGAAATCCCTTAATGAATGCCCCTTACATCTTTTCCAAAGAGCTCCCCCCCCTCACAAAGCCTCTTCTCCTATAGGTGATAAAGGATGCCCTCCACAAGAGAGCTGAAGGCTTTTGATATGTTGAAAAGTTTGTGGGCCCCACATCACAATGATGACAAGACGATGAGGTTATGTGGACAGAATACACAAAATTTTTGTTTTAAATTTTATTTCCCCATTTTTATCTTTTTCTCCTTTTTTTTGCTCTATGAGAGAGAGAGAGAGAGAGAGTTACAGAGAGAGAGAGGATGACAGGAGAGAAAGAGAGTGAAGGAGAGCGAAAGAAAGAGTTAAAGAGAACGAGGGAAAAGAGGTTGCCAGCGAAGGCAAAGATGAGTTTGATGGTTGATGGTACGTGCGAGGGAGTCAAGCAGCATTGAGGTTGCGATAGGGCGAGAGTGAGTGGAATCGAGAGAGAGAAATTGCGAGAGAGTGTGGGACGAGAGAGGCTTTCAATTTGAGGGAGATGGGGCAATGTGCGAGGGATGGACGAAGAGATAGCGACAATGTGGGTTCGTATACGGGAGATGTGCGGGAGAGAGGGAGAGGGAGAGGGATTTTTTGTAATGATCATCACACAAATCAATTATTGTAAAAATACTACACTCTTACAAGTAATCCAAAGATCCTTGAATCATCAAAGTGTGCGGTACAAAACTATGGCTTTTCAAGTAGTTCACAAGTAAACCTCAATGCATCTTATGAATGCCAAGTTAGAAATCAATGTGAGGAAAATGATGAAAGAGGTGCCTTAGAATCAGTTAATGTTTGATTTGGATCTTTCCATGCTCTTTGGCTTCCTCCATCTTCGTATCTCTAGACAACTACCGCAATAGATCTGGAGTTCTTGGGCTTCTATAATTAGGCCTATTTATAGAGGAACACCACATCAAATTATATAAGATGATTATCTCCAAAATATCTCAAAGAAAATAAATAAATCTCATAGCAAACTAACCAATAAAATTTGGATACATCATTTTCCATCCGGAATTCCGTTCACCACATTAGTAGCATTTTCCATGCTGTTAATGGAGCAATATGAGAAGCAAGAATGCCCATTTATATGTTAATGACTAAATGTAAACTGTACTTCCGTTTAGAAAATATTGTAGAAAAGATTCTAAAAAGGTAGACACAAATAAGAACTAAGATAAACTCGGATTGTTTTTTTATTTGTGATAAGTTGTATCATTGACTAATAAAATCCCCTCTTATTTTCTTTATTGCTTTTCTGTAATTTTCAGTTTGCTTATACAGAACTCGTATGATGACATTGTGAATGCTTCACTTGGCCTAGGTACTCAGTCATAAAGGTTATGATGGTGCCATTGCTGATACTTGGTCATGTGGGGTCATTTTATATGTTCTATTGGCAGGGTATCTCCCTTTTGATGAGGTTGATTTGGGTACTCTTTATTGCAAGGTATGCTACATTCTCCTGTACATATTATTTCTGTTTGAATAGGTACTTTGTCTAGCCTTTAGGTTGTTTTATCTTCCTTCAGCAATATGTAATGTTCTGATTTGACATTCTGATTTAAAAAAGTAGGCCACAAATTTCTTAGATAGTCAACAACTAGCATAAAATTTGCCCAACAATCATGACATGAGTCATTTAATTCATTATTGTTGTTGTTGTCTTGAGGATTTTTTACGATATTACTTCGTCCATTCAATTGGACGATTCACCCTATATCTTGATGTATTAATTCCGTATCTTTCATTGAAATTGTTACTATTAGGGAGCTATAATTGAGAAAGTTAACACTTGCACACTTTAGTAAAAAGGTGAAGTCCACTGGCATGCAGGTGGTGTTTTGAATGAAAGGCCCAGTTATACTATCAATTATCAATCTTATTTCATCATCTAGAAAAATTTCATTTAGCAATTTGATGTTCATTGTTCATGTTAGCTTTGCGCCAAACTTCTTGATGATATATTATGAATAACTAGAGCAGGAAAGCGGAAGGCTTAACAAGTTAGAAGGAAAACCACTTCTTAGAATATATACCAGGCTTTAGCATCTACTGAATTAAGCCAATAAATATTTAGTCAGAGAAATAACATTTTTATGACTAAATGCCAGCCTGATGATACTGGTACTAATACATGCTTTCACGTACTGAGGTTTTCATGCCATAATAAGAAGCTGACATTTGATCAATATATGTGATGTTTCCATATTTTGTCCTTATGTTAGACATACCTTTGTAATTGAAAATGCTATCCTTTCATCACGTACTTTCTGCATTCCATTTAAAGGAAATAGGTCATTTATCTAATTATGCTTAACTTCAGTAGCAATATATGCAGGGAGAGCTCTAAAGGCAATGCATTAAATATTATATACATTGTGAAAAGTATCTGTATTATATTTTGAAGTGTTCTTTCTTTCCGTAAATCTGGATGGCCCACTTGTACAAATTTGTTCCAATTGAAAATTTCTATGATAACTTTTATCAGATCGAGAAGGCCGAATTTTCATGTCCATCATGGTTTTCTATTGGAGCAAAATCCCTGGTACACAGGATACTTGATCCTAATCCTGATAGAGTAAGTTCGTGGACTGTATGCTATAACACACTAGATGCAATATGATTGATCATCATTTGTTATCATCTTCTTGTTTTTTTATTGTCTTTCGTTTTCTGAACTTGCAACTCTCATTTATACTTATCTGTTCCTTTCCCAGCCATTAATAAGATTATGTTCTGAATAGAAATTTTTCAGAAAGCTGATGCTTACTTGAAGATGAGCTGGTTAGATGCTAGATAGTTAGAAAAAGGCATTTGGTATCACATCATTAATAAAATTCTACGTTCATTAATTTTAACTTTTTGTTTTTTAGCAGCTTGAATGTTCTTTACTCTTTTTTTTTAGTGGTTTGTACCAGGTAAGTGAGCCGGTTTGATGTTGAGTAGTAAAAACTTGAAGGTTCCATACCGTAACTGATATCATTTCAAGTTCATATGGCAGACTATTCTGCTTGGGAGAGAATGCTTTTAAAGTCTATGTAAACAAGGACATAGAAAGACTATATCATGAGACTTGCGAGCTTTTTCTCATGAGAACTATCTTTTAAGAAATTTTTGTTGCACCAACTTACATCAACTCAGTCTCTAATATTTAATCAAGCCTACATTAAAAGGAAACTTTTTGAAGTGTTATTAATTATGGTTACGAAGTCCATAACATAATAATAATAATAATAATAATAATAATAATAATAATAATAATAATAATAATAATAATAATATCATAATGTTTCTCATTTTCTACTAACTTATCTACCTATTAATTAGGGCTAACTAGCCAGGAGGCTAATTAAGCCAACTAAGATAACCTACTTGCTCTGGCCCAAGGGAGGCTAGCTAGGATGATTCAAGTTGAATTTGGTTCAACTTGAATCAAGACAACCGTAAGATTTGTCTGAGGGTGTGGTAGCTCTTAGAAGGTCCTAAAGATTGTGCAATGAGGTGCTTGAACCCTCGTGAAGTTTCAAAGCACCATACAGAACGAAAGAGGTCTCCTAAGAATGTTTCCTAGTTTTTTAGAATGTTTGAATTTATTAAATGAATTATCATCTCTATGGCTTTGGGGTAATTTTGATTTCAATTTCTTCATCATCTAAGAGCCCTAGAAGTGCGCGGTGTTGATTCATAATTTCAGAAATTTTAAGAAATTAAAGCAATTGATTATTATTATTTCTTTAATGCTCAAAGCTTTGCAATATTTATTTTTTTTAAATCATAGTGACTTGTGCCTTCAGAAAATCTAGAACTAGATCATGAAGTCCTCATAAAATGAGAGGGCGAAATATCTGTGCTTAGTCTTATTTCTAATTTAGTCTAACTTTTGAAAGTCTGACTTGAAAATACTTGATCCTTCTAAGTAGAGGCTAGGGCACGACTTTTCAGAGCCCACAATGTATGTATATATGTCAAAAAAATATGCTTCTCTCTGTCGATGGAAAGGAGTTTTGTGTTTCTCATGGTTTTGCTATAAAGTTACTCTTTGACAAAATGCTTTCAAACCTTATGTTGTATACCAGCACATCTTGTATTTCTTAGGGTATTAGTTTTGAGTATTTCTTCTTGAAATTCATGTTGAATGCATCAAATTGCTTGCTAAACTTCATATAAATAATTTCCTTATGAACTTACAGACTACTCACTGCTTGTGCAGCGTATTCGAATTGATGACATTAAAAATGACGACTGGTTTATGAGGAACTATGTGCCCTCTAGATATGTTGAAAATGAGGATGTTAACCTTGATGATGTATATGCTGTTTTTGATGACCCCGAGGTAAGGTTTTCTCAATGGTTTTCAATGCTTTCGTTTTTGTTACTTTTTCTCTTCTTTATAAATCAACCCTAGTTACAGTTTTCATGTTTTATTAACTTCTATTTTGTAGCGAGTGTATTGAGGACTGGCTTCTATATACAAGGGAAATTGATGCATTACTTATCCTGATTTGTTTACCATGCTGCATAATTATACCAGACCTATATTTTCGATTGAATAATTTTAAATAGAATGGTTTTTTTTTTAAATTTCTTTGTTTGAAGTCTAATCATTTATTCACAAAGATTCATTTATAATACTATTCATTTTTATTAAATTACCTTAATCAGAAAATATTACCCTCTTTAATAATATCCACATGGCACAACTACCCTCTTTTATGACTTTAAAGAAAACATATGTTGTTTCAATTATTTAAAAAGAAGAGAGAAGAAAAAAAAGAAACAAACAAAATGCTAAGTCATAAATAAGATTATATAACTTCTATGAAGTCTTCAATTACCTTTTCATAATTTTATGTCAATGGACATAAGTGATTGCGGTGATTTTTCTTGAATGAAAAATCACAAATTTGAATTAGAACTTGAAAGTGTTTTTTCATCCCTGAGGTGCGAGTCGGACGAGTTCTTATAGACGATATGTATAGGTCAAATTACGCTTTATGTTTGTGAAGTTTTGAACTTATAGCTTGCACTAGGCTAGAAATTTTGCATATGATACTCAAATAATATATATTAGGGGTGCAAACGAGTCGAGTCGAGCTCGAACCAGGGGTTGTTCAAGTCGAGCTCGACTCTCAGATAACGAGCTCGAGCTCGAGCTCGAACTCGAGTCGAGCTCAAAATCCGAGCTCGAGCTCGACTCGTTTCGCTGTCGAGCGGCTCGTCGAGCTCAATTCGAGCTCAAATGTCGTCGCATACTTGCGTTCGCTGCCGTTCAGACGTCCGTCGTCATCGCGTACTCGCGATTTGTCGTTGCGTTCGATGTCAAGGTCGCGTCCAACGACGACGTCGTCCGTCATCAAGTCGTTCGCTTTCGGATTCGTCGTCGTTACGTCGTCGCGTTCGGGTTCGTCGTCGTCGTCAGTCGTCACGTCGTAAGTGCCCGACCGGTGTTGTTAAGAATTTGGGTGACGTCGGTGAGGGGGGAGAGTTTGGCGAGGCGTCGGCGCGGTCGGAGAGGTCGCACGGGATGGCCTCGAGTCTCGACAGCAAGGCCGCCGTCGGACGGGGAAGGAAGCCAGGGGACGCGAGGCCGGCGAGATACGGCGTAGACCTTCCAGGGGCCACCAGGGGTGTCGGGAAGCGTCCCGCCGGTGTTAGCTGCCTTCAATGTTTTGAACGAAACTGCGTCGCCGTCCTCATTTAGAATTTCTGATTTCCCGCTCGCGAGCTCCGTCCATTTGGATTTCCCGCTCACGATTTCCATTTTCCCCCGCTAGCTCCGTAATCGAGCTGCTCGACGAGCTATCGAGTCGATCAATCGGTTGTTCGAGCTCGAGCTCGATAAGCGATCGAGCTCGAAATTGTGTTCGAGCTCAACTCGCGAGCTCAATAAGCTCGGCTCGTCGAGCCTATTATTGAGTCGAGCTCAAGCCGGCTCGCGAGCCGGCTTGACTCGGTTGCACCCCTAATATATATGCAGGTACGAATTATTCAAAAATACTTTCTTTTTTGTATATTTTTAATTAAAAAAATTTCATATTTTAAACTTCAAAGGTATGATACATATATTTTCATATAAGAGTATCACATTTATAGAAATACTACTCTATCTTTTATTTTGACTTTCAAATATACAATTTCATTAAAATAAGATTTGTGTTTTTAATTATATTCAATAAGCCTTATTTTTATTCAATTTTTGTAACAAAATTCATTTAACATGTGTAAGTACCAGTATTCGGTTAATACATGACCCATATTTACTAAGATCCTGATGGTTTAAGCTATTTTTTTAAATCATTACGATTATTATGTTAAATAACTGTTAAATTATTTTGGCTTGAGCAGTTTAGATTTTATTAATTTTGTCGAGTTCTAAATATTTTTTTAAGGATTAATCAAAAAATGAATTCTATGTTGATTTTGTGTTTTTCTAGATAAATTGTATGAAGACCTTTCAATTTGTTTTTGAAATATCTTAGAGTAGCAGAAGATGTTTATTTGTATTCTTTAGCTATCATATTTTATGTTTCATTTTTTTTTAATTTATAAAAGCTTAGCCAGCCCTCTCTCTCTCTATTTTAAAATTCAAAGTTATGATACATATATTTTCATATAATAGTATCACATTTATGGAAATACTACTCTATCTTTTTTTTTTGACCTTTCAAATATAAAATTTCATTAAACTAAGATTTGTGTTTTTAACTATATTCAATAATCCTTATTTTTGTTCAATTTTTGTAACAAAATTCATTTAACATGTTTAAATACCAATATTCGGTTAATACCTTTCCCATATTTTACTAAGGTCCTGATGATTTAAGCTACTTTGAAATCATACGGTTATTATTATAAATAACTGTTAAATTATTTTGGCTTGAGCAGTTTAGATTTTATTAATTAAGTTGATGAGTTCTAAATATTTTTTAAGGATTGATCAAAAAATGAATTCTATGTTGATTTTGCATTTTTCTAGATAAATTATATGAAGCCCTTTCAATTTTTTTTTAAAATATCTTAGAGTAGCAGAAGATGTTTATTTGTATTCTTTAGCTATCTTATTTTGTTTCATTTATTTAAAAAATTTATAAAAGTTTAGCCTGCCCTCTCTCTCTCTCTCTCTATGGCGCCAGGGTACTTCAGAGGGTGGGGCATCTATTGTCTTGGATGGTGAAGTCCGAACAAACAAGATTCAAGTCTGTCCAAGCTGACTAACCCAAAATCCATCGGTAAACGCGAGCAGGAGAATAGAGATCTGTCTATCTTGTCTTAGACTAGCCACACTCCACCCATATTGGCTTTCTTGAGCTTATTCATAACTTTTTATGCTAATGGCATTGAAAAAGAGAATGTATTCTTGCTTCATTGGCACTTAAACATGCTACATTTGAAAAATCTTGCTAGCATTTAAAAGTGATAAGCTAAAAATAATAATTTTTTATTTGTGATTTGCTCATTTGTTTTTTAATTGCATTAGTATTTTCGGATGGGGTCTTTTGCTAGTTTAAGGGTTGTTTGCACGTGGTCATAACATATGGGTTTTAACTTCTGTGGTATTTTGCACCGCATACCTAGCTGCAGTGGTACCGGGTTTTTTTTTTTTTCTTTTTTAGAAGCTTTTCATTGAAGAGCTGATGTTTGATATTGGCCAAGTATTTCCGAAGTAATTATCCTCTTACCACAAGACAAGAAGCCTGTTTGATAGAAATGGTGAGCACTATAAGCTATTCCTTTCTTAGTACTTAGCTTATAAACATCATCAACAGCATTACTTTTTTCTTTGCTCAATGTCCTCTTTTCAAGACTTTTAACTTTCCAAGATTCATTAGAATCTTCAATAATATTAATCTTTTGCCTCTCTTTATAAGCATATTTTTGTCATTAATAATTTGTTTATATCTCATCACTCTGCCACCAAATCTATTTTTTAATTTATGATCTATTTTTAGTCTTTCCTAAATTTTTTATGACAATCTTCTTAATAGAACTAGTCATCTTATCCCATATTTGATTTTGCTCAGCTAAGCCCTCTCTTAATTACGTATCTTGGAAGATAAACAAATTCTCATTTTTCATGTTTTGTTATCTTATTCTGGGTTATTTATTTCTTTTATCTATTTTATTTATACTCTTAAGATATATATTCATAATTACTATTTTATTTTTTTTATGTTGTATGGTCAAACTTGCTCTTGGAAACAGCTTTCAAGTTTTGCAGAAAGATTTCTTTCCTTGGTAAAAATTTCTATTAGATTTAGATGAGAATTTGACTTTTAACCGGACACAATGGCGAAAAAGGATTCATGTAGCCGACCCCACGTAGTGGGACAAAGGCTTGATGTTGTTGTTGTTGTTGATGTTGTTATGATTTTATTGCTCTACTTTTGAAATTGACTTAGAGATATTATATTCCGTACGCCCAAATTCAATGATAAGTTCTTTTTCTTGTTTTGGACCTCCCTCCTATTCATAGGTGTAACTTAATCATTTCACCAAATTAATATTAATTAAAATTTCTAAATTTAAATAATTTTGATTGTGTTTGATTGACAAGTAGAGATAGGTTCTTGTCATTTTGTAGAATTTATATTTAAATCTTTTATTACGTTGCTATTACTTATAAAATGGTTGACCATCTTACTGATGTGACGGTCAGTTGAAATCCTCTTGTAGGTGCATTATGACCTTCATTTTTTTTTTTCCTTTTGTCTTTAGTATAATCAATAATGATAAGGCATGATAGAGTATTGGACTATTGGGTTTAGTCCCAAGTGGAATTGTTAAGGCGTGTGAGCTATTGGGCTTAGTTCCACCTCTGATAGAATGTATATTGGTGTAGAAATATTTAGTTGTTGGCCTTACCTATAGGCTTAAGCTTTAAGGTTGAAAATGTATTTGACCATCAATATATCTAGTCCAATTTTGATCCCCTTTAATTTACACTTCCTAGCAAATAATTTAACATTTTAATGGCAATAAAGATTATCATTTGAAGATTTATTTTGATTTTATGGAATGCACTGCTTGCTGCTTACAAAATGTGATCTCCTGTAGGAACATCAAGCTTGTGAGTCTTTTGGAAATGATGAAGCGGCCCCTCTGGTTCTCAATGCATTTGATCTATTCAGCTTATCTCAAGGGTTGAATTTGGCAGCACTCTTTGAACGAAGACAGGTACTATTTGCCATGCTGGATGATTTTGTCTATTTGAGTTCTCCACATTCCAGGAAGAGCTTTACCCTCTCTATTAGTCTATGGTCCTCTCATTTTTATGCATCGTCATTGCAAATTGTGAACACCTTGTAAATATATACATTTGAATCTGTAGGAATGTTTTATTCTGATGATTTTTTCAGACGTTGTAGGTTATTTCAGTTTGCTAGATTTTGTAGAGTTAAGGGTCCACTTGATTATTTGTGGACAGACTGAGGCTTTGTTTGGGATGGCTTTCTTACAAATTCTTAAAATAATTTTGTAGTACAAAATTAAAATTTATGTACTAGAAAGCTGCTTTAAGTAGCGGTAAAAAAACTGTCTCAAACAAAACCTAAGTGTTAGAAATGAAGATTTTGTTTTCCCACATTATATATGAAAATAAATTATTACACGTGAAGGGTTTGTCCAATTTAAAGCACGTGCTGATTTCTATAACATCCAACAAAACGGTTAATCTTCCACTTTTCTATTATTTTCTCCAATGCGTTCTTATCTACCAGCAGCAAAATGGACGCTAAGAACAGTTATCATAACTGCAGTACATGCATTCTAATTAACATGATTGTAAACTTGAATCTTTGATGTGGTAAAGTATGGGAACTCATTTGATGCCGACACTAATTTTTTTTATGTCACGTCATTTTAGACCAAAAGAGAAGGTACCATATAAAGATGCTTTATAGATGAAGATTTGGATGCGAACGAGAAGTCTTCAATTTTATTTTTACATGATAAAGATTTTACAACATACTTTCTGCATATGCTTAGAAATCTTTCATGAGGTTTATCAATCCCTAATACTATGTCCTATAAAAAAAACTTTGGTATCTGAATAAATTTTGTTTGGAAATTTTTTTGATGAAATAGAAAATTTAATCAGTTCCGAACTTATTATTTTACTTATTGAGGTTTAGTAGAAATCCTAGGTGTTGTCATGACCTAGCCTGAAAACTTGGAATATTAAGGCAAGAATAAACGGTCAGACAAAAATATTAAATATTATCAAAATAAATGTTCATAAACTTTTATATAATAATAACTTCCAATACATTAAAATAGTCGCCAGATCATAATGTTCATTCAATTCCAAAATAACAATAGATCTATTATTATTTGTACACCATCCATAATAAACAAATATGTCTCACTTGTAACTCCCCGTTTGTAATACACAAACTTTCTTATCTCACTCATTTAGTTCTCAAGCAATGTTTAAAATTGCGCATTCGGGTATTGAGGCGTTTTTCATTCGTGTGGCAAGGCGTAAGCCTCAAGGCGTTTTGAGGCGTAAGCCTCAAAATCAAAAGATTGCGTAAACATAAAATGAATAAGCTCCCCAAGTGATTAACTTTTGAATTTGGGGGTATTTTGAAAAAAATATAATTGCCTATTATTGATACTATCATCGGGGTATTTGATTTTATTTTGTTATATGAACTTTATCAACTCTATCTCCTTATCAACGGGGGATTGATTTCAAGCTTTAACTTTGCAAGCTACTATATGAGTTATGAACTTGAGTGTTTATATTATGATAATGAATTTTCTTTATAGAATATATTAAAGGCTTAATTCAAATTTAAAAACCATAAGATCATCGTGAATTTTGCCATTGAATATTCATTTATTATAATGAGATTTGAAAATGATTTTTTTAATAACAAGATATTTGAAAAATTATTGCTAGTATTTCTCTTGTAAGATTCAAATCTTATTAACTCCAATGTTTGCAAGGAGCAGACTTGAAATGTAAGGTTTATGAACCAGCCCTATAGATAGAGCGAGCCACTTGAGAGGATCATGTAATGACAAGTTTGATTTTTAAAAGAGATTTTGTAAAATTTTCAGAGTGATGACTTGGTCATTTTTGGGGCAGTTGCACAATTTACAATGCTAGATTAAATTTAAGGTCACTTCTATTTTAAACCGTAAAGCATTCTTAGATCTCAAATTCAAGAGTTCGATGAATTTGGTCGAAGCACATATGGGTTAATTGATTTAAATGATTTTATGTATGGCACATGCCTTTTGATGCATTTGTAAGACATATTCGAATGTTTCACGGTGCATTCATGCAATATAATTGTATAATTTAAGTACACTTACACGTTTCTTGATGTTCTTTTGCAATGCTCTTGTATACTTGCTTGATCTTCAATTCTCTTAGACAGTGCATTTGTATATTCATCAGTATGTTTGCACTGCACATTTAGTGATTGCATGGAAAAAATTGCTTTTGGTGATTTGAAATATCATGCGCACTTTGTCAAAATGCTCATGCAACCTGTGATGCTCAATAGAGCACCGCTTTGCCTCATTTGAAAAAATTTCATTCATGGGGATGTACTATTCATTCATGGAGTGCAGTGCCTATTAGCAAATGTATTGTTTATTACCGAGATATGTATGAGCTTTTTTTTTAGTATAACATGTAAATCACTAGGAGCACTCGGACATTCATGATGTGTAACAGATTTTATCATTTTTCTTGTTGGAAATCATTCACGTCATTGCAACTATTTATGATGCATAAAAGTTTGACACGGTAGATGTTCACGTGAATGTACTGTCATTGAAGCGTGTTCGTTACTTTGCATTGAAGTTCATTATTGCTTGTATTTCATCTGCTTGTGTGTGTGTTGTGGGTCAAGTTGTGAGTGTTGATGATGATATATCAAGGACGTTTTTTTGTAGCTTTCACGAATTTCCTTTAGTGGTAGATTTTTATCTGTTATCTAGTATTTGATGACCTTTTATTATGCATTCAAACTTATATACATTTCAAGCAAAATTTTTTTTTTTTTTCATCTTATTTGTCTCATTTGATCTTCCTTGTCAGGATAATGTTAAACATCAAACTAGATTTCTTTCACGAAAACCTGCTAAAGTGCTTTTGTCAAGCATTGAAGTTGTAGCACAGTCAATGGGCTTGAAGACTCACATTCGCAATTATAAGGTAATTGATGCCACCATTGATGTTGAATTTAATGGAGCTATAACTGGCATAATTGAGAATGTTCTTTGGATCCCATCTTTTCCTGCTGCTTATTTATATGCAAAGTCTATTTACTTTATGATCACTCTTTTCTTGCCCATGAAATATGAAGTTGGCTTTCGTCATGTGCAGATGAGGGTTGAAGGTCTATCTGCGGACAGAACTTCCCATTTTTCAGTCATGCTAGAAGTGAGCCCCTCTCTTAATTTTGCTTGATCAATGTTGTCTACCTGATTAGAACATATGTTCAGTGTCGACAACATGATTAATTATTTGTTCTATATTATTAGTCGATTGATGTATTAGGGAAATATTTGATTTTCTTTTAAATTTATTTGGAGTTATTTGTTTACAACAACAAAAACAACATCAAGCCTTTATCCCACTACGTGGGATCGGCTACATGAATCCTTTTTCTCCATTGTGTCCAGTTAAGAGTCAAATTCTCATTTAGATCTAATAAATAAATATCATTTCTAATATTTTCTAGCCAAGTCTTTTTAGGTCTACCTCTACCTACCTTTACATAGAATAAATCTAATACATCTACTCTCCTAACCAGGTCATCCAAAGGCCACCATTTTATGTGACCTAACCATTTAAGGCGACTCTCTCTAATCTAATGTTCCATTGGAGTTACTCCAACCTTATCACGTATGTGCTCATTTCGTATCCTATCTCTAAGAATAAAGTCACTCATCCACCTAAGCATCCTCATCTCTGCAACACTTAATATTTTGCTTCTCTTTTAATACCCAACATTCTGCACCATAAAGCATTGCAGGTCTAACCACCATCTTATAGAATTTTCTCGGGAGTGGTACTTTTCTAGTTGGAGTTATTTGTTTATTGAGAGTTTTTTTTTTTCTTAATTCAGAGTTTTTCTGTGTTTTAATCTTTCAGATCTTTTTTATATAAATAATATCCCAGTGCTTATCAAGAGATAATGAAGAGTTATTGGATTATTCTGAATAAAGATATATTATCCATTCACGGATACCTCCAAACGTGTTAGAAAAATCAATTATTCATTAATGCAGTCTTCTCACTACTCTGAAGTAAATAATAATTAATCCCCCAGATGAAGTCAAATATATGTCTTGATCCCACGGTTGTTGTAACTGACTTTTATTTACTGTGCTAATTTGCCGCACCTACCAATCTTCTATTTCCTTTGAGTTCGCTCCATCAATTTGAAATTGATGCAGATTTTTGAGGTAGCTCCATCAATTTTTATGGTGGATATTCAACGAGCAGCTGGAGACACAGAAGAATATTTCAAGGTGAGTACTTTCTTACCGTGTTCTGCAAGTGGTTTTGAAAATTGAGTAACCATAGGTCCACATATGATTTGACCAAAAATTAATCTGCCCTTCTATTAAATTTGCAATTTTCATATTTTTCATAATCTTTAAGAAGTTAATAAATATGAAAATCTCCCTGTTTTTTTTTCTACTGCATAGCACGAAAAAAATGGTGTTTTCAAAATTGGATTCTCTTTATCGGGAAGGAAATGATTTCCCTAATAAAGAAATGGTTATGAAAATTGAGTAACCAGAGGTCCATATGTTTTGGCTAAAAAGTAATCTGCCCTTCTATTAAATTTGCAATTTTCAAATGTTTCATAATCCTTAAGTAGTTAATAAATATGAAAATCTCCCTCTGTTTTTCTACTGCATAGCACTTAAAAATGGTGTTTTCAAAATTGGATTCTCTTTATCGGGAATGTTTTCCCTAGTAAAGAACAAGATTTTATATCATATTCAAAGTGAGCGAGATAATGTTCAGCACAACCATAGCCTGCTTTGACTGACATTTTACAATTTAAAAAAGGCTATTTAGAGGAGTATTTTGTATTAAATAATCACTTTTCATAATGCATGCATTTATCCATTATCATTGTCTTCCCAATGTTTTAGGTTCAAATCTTTATGATTCCTCTTCTTTGTCGATCCCAGTAAGTGTTACGTGGTGTAAAGTTTAGCTTTTATAACTTTTTTCAAGCATTTATTCCTATTAATTTTAGTTCACCTCTTCTTCTGATACCTTTCATATTATTTCTGTAGACCTGCCGAATTGGTGCTTTTTTGGGTTCTCCATTAATAGTTTATTTGTAACAATCTTGTATTTCTTAGGTGTTACTTCAAAAGTCGACTCAATACATAGCTTCGCATCTTTGCCTATCTAGTTTACTTACACATCTTAATTATTTATAATGGCAAAACTCAATTGGTTGTTGGTGATTTTGTTTTAAACACTCAAATTCATATAACATAGTGAAAAATATTCTTAATTAATTTACATTGAAAATATACCCATTTTTCACACATTAGACTAATTGATCTTGGATTAATCTTTGCATTTGAGTCTTTATCAATTCTCTAGTTAAGCCCATCTCCAAATGGCTGAAGGTCCCTTAGACTAAATATTATTATCTGCATGATTGTTATTAATTGAATCACCTTTGAAAATATTTTGCAAATCATTAGATGACATCGCAAAATATATTATCATGAAATCAATAATTAGCTACAAGGGATATTTGCATAGGAGGCTTGCAGATGGAGTCAACGAAGTCCTAAAAATCTCTGTTTCCCTATGTTTTTATTGTTTGCATCAAAATATTCCTGAAGTTCTCTTGTAAGATGGCATTATTTACATATTTTTAGTTTCTCACATTACATAGGATGTGAAGCGCACCTCCGCTATTCCATAAACGCTCAGTTAATTCTTCTGGTTTGAGCAACGATGTTGATTAGAGGCCAAAATCCTTATGGAAAGTGATATCCAAATCCATGGACAGTGTTGATCCAACTACAAAAATTTATAAGAAATCCTGGCTATAGATGACCCAATAATAATGCTTCTTAAATCCTACATCGTAAAAAGTGATATCCAAATCCAAGTATAAAAAAATCATTATGTGAACATTCAAGTATGAAGCACAAGATCAAGTGGCCAATGTCCCTGTTGCCAAAACAATAATAAGAATAAGAAAGCCAATGAATTAATCAGTAGCGTAGAAGAGTTTCTTAAGAATATATTTAAAGGAAGAAAGAGTATTTATCATTCCTCAAGAATTTTGTAATGACAACTTTTCTCTCTTAAAGTAAAGATAGGTCATAAATAAATAAAAAGAGATTTTTTTTTTCCAATAAATTTTAGATAATTTTTTAAACATATTTCATAAATTAAGCTGATTTCAATTAAAATTTGTTAATTATATGTTTTATATCACCACCTGGCATGACCCCACGAACGCACATCTCAATATCTCCGCTCGTCTCGTTCTCTTATAACTCCCTCATGACCAGCCTCTCGATTCCTCTAAGGGACTGGTTGGATGAAAGAGAAATGCAGTGTAAAATGAATGCATGACAACTTTTTATATGCCTTTACTTCTTGTAATAGAAACAACATTGTTCCTGCCAATAAATTTGACCCTAGAGATGACTTTGAGATGACTTTTTCTCCTATGTTCTTTCATTTTTTAAACATACCCAATACCTTCCAAATTAAGATGGTTCCGCTCTCAGCAGCCATTGTAATATTCATCAAAGAAGGGAATACTAAGATCTTATGCAATGCAACTTGAATTTGGTGCAATATGTGATTGTACCAAACTTGAAGCCAAATTGAGTCAAATACAACAAAAATTCTTCGCAAAGATTCTAAATTAAAAGAGTATCAAACAATATATACTCGGCTGAGAACTTCCTCATGGTGTTAGCATTTTTTGTTACCCATAAAAGGAACATAAATATCCATTATGACTCTTTTTTGTTCTATATTCATGGGATACTTAGGCTTCGTTTGGGATAATTTTCTTACTGTTTCTTAAAGCAGCTTTTTAATATAAAAATTTAGTTTTAAAATTAAAAAACTGTTTTAAAAAGCAATAAAACAGTCGTCCCAAACAAATTCTTAACCATCCTTTTCTGATCACTAGCTTTTTCCAACGCTGCCATTTGCTTTGCAGTTTAACAAAATCTTCTGCGGCAAGCTTGATGACATAATATTTAGACCACCAGCAGAGAAAAGCAAATCACGTCTGTTAAGGATGTCCAAACGTCAATCTCCAGCATAAATTATGTGCATATATGGCCGCAGAAGTTCATCTCCCCAGTTTTTATTCTGAAGCTGGTAATTCATTTATGGTGATTATTTGTTATATCCAAATCCCTTTGAACTGTTTTCTCTGTTAATCTCTTTAGGTGATAATATAAGGTAAAATATGGTGTGTTCCTCAACAGAGGCAGTTTGGTCCAAGGTAGTAAAATGTTGATCTTCACCTTGTAGTTCTTACCAACAGCTTTTACTCCATGAACCAGCTTTTATGCATGTTAACAAATTCTTTGAACTTAGCTACCTTTTAAGAGCAATTTTGCAGCATTGTTGTATAAGTTACATGTATTTTCTCATTAAGATTTTTGAAAAGAACTTTGACTATAGTTTATTTTATTATTTTTGGAGGAGATAATAGCTGTTGAAAATGAAAATATCTTGGAATAGATTGGTTATTGTACAGAGCCTTGCATTGGGTACCTATACCCACACCCACCCATGTACCCAGCCATACCCAATGGGTATGGGTGGGTATGGGTATGCTCATTGCCTTATGGGTGCGTATTCAACATCGGGGGTAAATCGATTTACATTGTTAATCGTCGTATATCTTATATTACTGCAATTCTCACTACGTAGTGTGCAACACTTAACCACACTGCAACTACAGTAAATTCTGATATGCGCCTTAAAAGTTTGCAATCAGAGTAAAGAGCAACAAGTCTCAAGACAATCAGTCTGTGGCATATTGCGTTCAAAAAGTATGGAAAGTTGGTGGGTATACGTGGGTACGACATTCCGAAAGTCACCATGGGTGGGCGAAGCTTGTCCAAGTAAATCATGGGTATCCAACCAGGACCCCATATAGAGCTTTGTTATTGTAGCGTATTGTTTTCCTTTTTGTTTCTGGAAATGATATAAAGATTATTTCACTTTGTTTCTGGATCCAAGAACAATATTAATCTAGTAATAAGGCTTTCCTTTTGTTAGAAATTTGTTACTGTAAATTATGGGTTGTTTGGGTTCTTCCTTGGTAAAATGCCAGCAGATGGCTTGCTGAATGATGATCAGCTGAGCCTTGACAAAACAAATTGAGATTTAATAGCCTTAATTGATACAGGAACTCTTAAATTACTTATTTCTCAACTACCAAGATTGTGTATTTTGATGTAGGAGTTTAAGATCTAGGGTTTATTAATATGTAATTAGGTTGTTCAGCACATGATTATACACATAAGATCAAATTTATAGTTCACTCCTAATTTGGATAATTAAAATATCCCACATGATATTCCCACATGATATTTAAGGATTTTAAAATATATTTAGGACAAGTTGCAATCTAATCGATTTGCGGACACCGTCATTCTGATGACACAGTTAGAAGAGTAGTGTATTAAATTTGGCCTATATTTAAAAAAATATAAAGATAGGTTTAAAAATATTTGATTAGAAAATATTAAAATTTATTTTTTAAAAAAATAGATTTAAATAAAAATTGGACTTTTAAGAAAATAATGAGGAAAACAGATTTATATTATACTTTCTGGTAACAAATTAATGAGCTGACTATTAAAGTATTAACTAAATTCATTTTAAAAAAAAAAAAAAAAAAAAAAAAAAAAAAAAAAAAAAAAAAAAAAAAAAAAAAAACAAGTCGATTACATTTCAAGCTCTAAAATAAAATGTCTATACAACTATACTTACCAAGGTTCCTGCTGCCTTGCTCTGTAAAATGTACATATATAAAAAATGAGAATCAAGTTCTTCCATGCCTACTTCAAATCTATATAACTCAGTAAACATTCCTGCATATTGAAGGCCAACAACTGGACAAATTATTCTATGTGAATACCGGACGGTCCAGAAACCAACCAGAACGCGCCACGTCACCAAATACGGAGCACCGGTACCGAGCAAAAAAGTGACATGGCGCATTCTAGTGCGTCCGCACAGAATAATTTTTCCAACAAATGACCTAGTAACTCACAAACCAAGCATGACAAGAAAACATGGAGCCTAATGCATGCAAAAACATCACAGCAGCTGGGTTCCGAATGGGTTGTTTTGGTAATGGGTGTTGTTCACGGGGAATGACCCGAAACCTGTCGTGTCTGCGAAGGGGTTTGCGGAAGCACCCGTTAGCAATGGAGGTTGCTGTTGTAAGGCCATCGGGTGTGCAAACGGGTTGGAATGCATCATCAAGGACTGGTGTTGAGCCATGGCTGCCATCTGCACAGATGGAGGGGCGGCTACTTGGTTTGACACGGCGAAAGGATCGGCCGCCATGAAAGGATTTGGAGGAACACCGTGGTGTGGTTGCTGCTGCAGCTGCAGCTGCTGCTGCTGTCTATATGCGGCATCGTCATACAAACTATCCAATATGAGCCTGTCAAAGCCACCTCCCTGGAAGTCCATTGCAAAATGTGAAACCTTGTTCTTACAATGAATGGTAAAATTAGTATAATATGTCATCTATCAATTACATACAGAATCTTGAAGGTTATTAAACATCCTTCATCAATAGGCAGAAGAGATAAAAAACTAAAAAGAATATGGCATGATCAAGATTAAAGAAAATGCCACTCACATAATCCATGTTGTTTCTATTAGTGTTGTAGCTAAAAAAATTATCCAACTTTTCAAAAAAAAAGAGAAAATAATTGAAATGGTCCATTGATTCTTTCTGAAAGATTAAAAAAATCTCCAACTATATTAAATGATCATTTTGATCCCTCAACTCTTTAAAGATGAACCAAAATTATATTATGATAGTATTATTTTGGTTCCTTTTAAAAGACTCGAAGAATCAAAATGGTCATTTAATATAATTGAGGACTATTTTAGTCCTTCGTAAAGAGTCAAGGGACCATTTTGATCATTTTTCCTAAAAAAGATATAATACTACAATTGTAATTAACTTTCAAAAAACTTACTTTCTCTATAATAACACAATAATAAATTTTACAAAGAACTAAAACCACTCCAAATGGACAGTTCCAAATGGACAGTTCTTGTGCCACTTTCGTAGGATGTTCTGATACCAATAGAACTCAACCTATGCCATTCAAACCTAATTCAGTAACACAGACTCAAATACAATTTTCTTTTTTATCGCTGCCATCCCTCAATTTGTGTTTTAGACAAGCAGGCCGTATGCTCAGCCAAACACCAGAAATCAAGATGTGTTCTTCATCTTCTTTCATGCATTTCATATCTTCTGATGGAAGTAGAATCTTTTTTTTTTCCCTATTTTATTTATGATACTATACTCTCGATGCATGTGCTGTACTTTTTATGATGCTAAATCACACTTTCATAAACTCATGGCTTCAGCAGATTTTCTTCCTCCTAAGACTTGCCAAATTATCATCATGATACCAATATTACTCAAACCATGCCATCAAACTCTAACGCAAAGTCAAGCATCTTTCTTTGTTGCTCTTCTGCCTTCGTTCCCCTCAAATCCTCTATCTTTTAAATCATTAGCTTGTGCGTTAGGCAAAGCATGAACAGTTAATATATGCTATTGAGATATTTTGTAGTTCATTTCTTCTCCTTGATAGCGTCTGGATTATTTTTTGTTTATGTTAGTTATTTTGATGTATCTGTCATAATCTATCATTATTTATACATCATGCTAACCTTAATTCATTGTCGTGTATCGTCTTTTTACAATATTTGTTGCATTTTTTAAATACTTATATTTTCCTCGCCTTCCAAACTCAAGTCCTTCCATCTCCCTTGCAACCCCTACGATGGTCAATGGGGTCCATATACGTAGTACCGGACAAATGTCACAAGAAGTAAGCAGCCGCAACAAACTAAGGTTTTGTTTGGGACGGCTTTCTTTCCGCTTCTTAAAGCAGGTTACTAGTACAAAATTAAAAAAAAAAATTGTACTAGAAACCTACTTTAAGAAGGTAAAAGGAAGCCGTCCCAAACAAAGTCTAAGTCAACAAACTAAGTATTTCAACAAACAACAATGGGACACGAAATGATGAAATTCTACTGCAGCTTTGTTACTTTAAAAAGATGACAATACAAACCAGCTGGCTTTCAACGGTAGATGAATGGTTATTGCTACTGGTAACAAGAGCTAGCTCCCATCCAGATGGATCAAATGGCTTGTCATTAATTGCACCAGAATTAGTGGAGGCAGCATCTGTTCAAGAGTACAAAAGTTAATTTCAACCATATCGATCATGAATATTATGCAAATAAACATAAACTAATACATGATGAAAACAGATAACAATAAGCATACCAGATGGAACTATTGCTAAAGCCAACGCATTGCTATCTTCTATTGCTGATGCACCCGGATTAAAATCATTCAAACCCTGTGCATAAGATGGATTTTAACTTGGATTAAGTAGAAAGTGAAGATGAAGGAGACGAGGAGATTATAGAGGAATGAAGGGCAATGAAGAGAGCCATCAATATTCACCCAAACTTACCAATAAATCTCCATCATCTGCCTCCTGGAGAGGGCTAGGTGTAACTTCAACTCCCACGTGAGAAGGTTCTATCTTTGTATCTTCAACAGGTGGGTTTTCTTCCTCAACAGCAGCAGGAGTATCCTCTGGCTCTTTGTAAGTTAAAAGAAGTCTCTCCGGAAATTCCTGAATCAAGTTAGAATTAAGTATTCTCTTCATATAGAAAAATATTTCTCCATACAAGATATAGCATACTTTTTCTAAAAATACACCATAACATGACAGTCTACATAGAGTCAACTATATTTTTTTTCAGATGGCACACCACAAAAATGGAGCTTTTAAGTGAAGTGGCCATACAACATATACACAAGATTAAAATGACAGCTGCTATCGCAATTCCTACTGTCAAATAGTTGATCTACCACTTAACAACCAACAGCAATCAATAAACTAAATCTTGCCTAAAACGGATGTCAATTTCTTTCTGACAGGGTCTCATAACAGCATTATTGCATTTTTTTTTGTAAATTATAGTATGCCTGGCAACTGTCAATGTGCAAAATGATATATATCATAAATTATAATGCAAAAGTGTCGAGGTTCTATCAGGTCAAATCAAATTCAAATTATTGACTCCAAAGTTTAGGAAAATGTATAATGAAACCTTCTTTAACACAACGAACTTCATCAAAGAAAATGGAAAGCTTCACAACCACATCCATCCAAACAAGAACATTCGAAATTTTCAAATCCGAATAAAGTGTTTCTATATATATTAAGCTTTATTTCCCTTGCATATGAACAAGAAGCTGTGCAGCATGGTCGGCCCTTTACGACAAGAAACAGCATTTCATGATCAGCCCTTCATGAATAGATAAAAGACACTCTTTTCCGCTCAATAGTTCAAAAACCATTTTGAAATGAAATTGAACAATGTTACACAGGCATCATGATGAAGATGAGATAGCTAGAAAACTATTCTTGTTGCCAATAGCTTTTGATGGCTTGATGAAGTTGATGATAACTTACACTTTTGTTGTTGATTGATAAAGGTAAGAGAAACTTGTATTAGAAAGTCCTTCAAATATGAGAAAGAGAACACAAAGTCAGCCATAAAAGAGAAAGCCATAGGAGAGAGGATGCATGCATGAGAGAGAGGAAAGGAGATGAAAGTCAGTCACCCTTAAGAAAGAGCTTCATGCTTGCATCAATATTTATCTTTCATTCATAATCTCTTACAAACATACTCTACATATAGAGTGTGAGAATAGAGTGTATGTACTTTACACGTGATGAAGTAGCAAAAAGAAAATAATCTAAATGTAATAAGAAATAAATCAATTAAGGATCATTTATTAAAGAATTCTCTAAATAAAGCATCATTTGATTACATATTTCTTATGTGAATAATCCTATCATGGTATGTTCCGACATGTTCAAATATGATAAGTGAAAGTATGCCTGTCAATATTAGACCCGACCTGCAAACCCGACCCGAAAATTTCGGGCTTGGGTTGGCCCGAACCTAAAGCGGGTAAGGTTCGGCTAAAGAAAACCGACCCGTTTACAAAACCGGGTCGGGTTCGGGTTGACCCATAAACCCGAGAATGACCCGGAATAACTCATAAACCCGGCTGCCCCGCGACCGCCTGCGTCGCGTCAAGCACTCGAGCGCGCCCGGCATCCCGCCTTTTTCACGATTATATTGCTGAACTTTATGAATTCTCATTCTCTAAGCATACATGTTTCACATTTCTACCACGCTGAATTTGAATATAAATGAAATTTTGACTAAAAAAAATTCAATAAATATACGGATCCTTACTAAGACATACGATTCCTTATGGTTCTTAATCAATTGCCTAGTATTGGCAATATGACAAACAAATACTAGCTAGAATGATGGCACCATTAAAAATTTTAGAGGAGACTTTGTTATACATAATAGACTAACAGAAGGCCAACAATCCAGACATATCATTCCTACAACAGCCGGCATCTTTTTTTTTTCTAAAAAATTGTATACTAAAAAATACAACAGCCAACATCAATTTTTTTATTTTTTATTTTTTTTCTTTTTATTTATTTTTTATTATTTATTTATTTTACAACAGCCCGCATCAATCTAGCTCTATGCAGTTAGGTTTAGGGAAGGATATTTCGCGGTATTAGACTGAAGGATTGCGACAAAATTGGTTAGACATATTTTTGACGAACTGATGATACATTCTTTATATCAATTGCTTCCTTGAAATCACCGAGCATCAAGCCCAACATAAGAGAATCAATCTTATGACATGTAAATAGATTTCTTTTAAGTACTCGGAATTTTAAAAAGGCTAACAAACATCAGTTCCATAGGAATAATTAGTGTCCAAAAATACAAACAACCGTGAAACCGCATAGGACTGCTCTACTATAACTGTCTGTCCTGAAAAAAACATTAGACATAAACAAGTTTAAACTCCACTATCAAACGTGCCAAACGTTCTTCCCAAATAATCTTTTACCGATTTAAAGTTCGCTGCATTTCTAGACGCAAGCAACAGGTCCTGTGAAACTAAGATGTCATTTACTACCCATCTTGCGAATCTACAAAATGATGCATGTGGAGAAATTTAAGAAGCAAAAATGGTTGCCAAATGTACAGTGAAATAGTTTTTAATTAGCTGCCTATTTAATACCAAATGAAAAAATAATAGCTCCCAGGGGTAATTTATTTCTACTCCATAATAACCTATATGGGAAGAGCCATTTGCAGCCAGGAAGGGTAGGTCGGGAGGCAGGTTTGAGGTGTTTGGAGACAATATCGGAGATAAGAGAACTAAAAACCAATATCAAATGGTTTTTGACGAACCTTTTGGACTGTTCTACCTATACTTTTCCGAAATACGTATACTTTCCAAGAAAACTATTTTGCAGACAATTTTGAGTGAAGTAATCAAATCACACACCCACGTCAGTACATGATAACGAAGAGCATATCTCAGACGAGTTCACAGACAGCAACCCACCACACTATAGCAGCACCACCACATTTTACAAGGTCAAAAGGATATGCTTAAAATTTAAGCCATCATAGGGAAATCAAGCTTAAAATAAATACCAAGAAATTAAGTTAAAGGTTGAAACAAGACCATCACTGCAAGATAAATTATGGAAGAAATTTAGTACAAAGATAATTGATGAAAAAAAATATATAAAGTATTAAATAGTTGTTCATAGACTTTTTTATTGACTTCGAAAAAGTATATGATCAAGTATCATAGGAATTGATATAGAGGGGCACCATGGGAAAATGTCTTTAGAAGCTATATTGAAGTTGTTATAATATATGGCATTCACTAGCATTAAATAATAGAGTTCCAATCAAAATATGTATATATGAAGAGGCAAATGTGAATTCATATCCATTTATATTCAACAACGGGGTGCATATAGCACAATCTATTGATCTTTGCTATATGTAGAAAACATTGCCCTATCAGGTTAAATAATTTCTAAAGTGTTAAGCAATAAAAACAAAGAAAAACGACAGAAGACTAGGGACTTTGGATTCATAGATAAAAGCTAAGGTAGACAATAGGGAATTTTATTAGATATAAAAAAAGATCATTTAATATTATTTAGATCAACTAATATCTACATATCATAGACTTGGATATCTAAGATAAATTACACAGAACTCGGGATGTATATAGATGACGAAACAATTTTGTAGTTAAAGTTCACAATAAAAATGGACAAATTCTTATAGGACGCTAGACTAGGAAACATGGAAAATTTAAAAAAAAAATGTTATTAAATAACAATAATAATGATTATATTACTTTAATGAATGTTTGTGAGGAAAGAAAAAAATAACCAAGTTTAGTGCGATAAAATTAAGAAAGTTAAGACGCATGCATAATTAAAAAAAAAAGCCAGAGTGCAATTTGTGAAATGATACATTAGATAGAGTAGCATCCCCTTGGGAAAACAAAATTGTACAAATTAAACTTGAGTTATTTGAGAAGCAAAACAAGAAGAAAAGAAGATAGGGAGATAGAAGTAATGCGAAAAGGGATGGAAAATAAAAGGAATAGATCAATAACACAATTAGAAGTTGAGAAAATTTGTTGGTTTAAACGAGAGTTAACAACATATACAAGCCTCAAGTATTCAAGGGAAAAAGAATGATTGCTTGGGTCCCAGAAAAATAATGCTGGCGATGATGATGCATTGGCTAGTCTCGTCATAACGTGGACAATGATTCACACAATATGGGTCATAAACAGTACAGTTCACATGCTACACAAACCCAATCAGTTTTTAAAACCAATTGAGAATGCAATAACAAAAAACTGTAAGGAGAAAAAAAATTCAAATCTTGTTGCTTCCACAGAACCATACTAACAAATTAGGAATATCATAAAACTCGTGCTTTGGGTCGTGCTTTGGGTGGAAAAAATATGATAAGTTCTAATGTACACAGATATACCTACTTTCCTCAAAAGCTTTAACTTACTATGGTAATTGCAGCTGAGAAATAAATGATACTTTTGAAAGTTCGGACAAATATGAAGAAATAAAAAAGTAACGTTGAAAAACTGAAGTAACAATGAGGTTACAAATGCTAACCAGAGCCTCACTGGGAACAGAAACTACCCGTGGAGCCTCTCTTATATATTCTTCCATGGTTGCAAGAAAAGACTGAGGCGGCTGAAATATGGTTGAAAGAAAATGAATCAACAAACCACATAAACGGAGAAAATGAATGCAGTAAAAGCTGATTGAACAACATAAAGCACCTCTCTCAAATTTGGAAATTGGAAGTTCCTCGCAAGTTCTAATCCCCTACAAACCTCATAAAACTCTGATAGGTTTGTAGCCTGTGAATTGAACAACAAATTAATATATTAAGCATAAAAAGGATATATATATAGAAAATACACACACTTCAATAATAAATGTAATCCCAATGGATGGTTGCATACCTGCTGACCAGCCCTTTTATAGATCTCAAGGGCTTTAACAGCTTCATGTCTTGGCATCTCAAAGAACTATACCAAAATAAAGTTGCCATGAAAATGAATGTGAATAAATCCTACACGGATCAATCAAGACTTTCATGAAAAAAACTAAAGATAAAACATAGAATTGTTTACCTTATCAACAAGGTTGATGATGCCATCATTAATAGCACAATAAATTTTGAAACTTTCTTTCAGAACCTGCCAATTAATGACCATGGAAGGATGAAAAAGTTCACTTTTGCAAATATATTAAAAAAGGTGGGTTTGAGGAAAAGCATATAAAACCTCCAACTTCATAGAACAAGAACAAATAACAATGTCAATGAAAGCACTTTTCTTATAACAATACAATGATTATAAATTAGTGTAATTTTATTGTCAATAACGTGACTAAGGAGAAATATGGAAAGCAACATGTTTTAACTATACTACAGGACACAAAAGCATATGATAAAATCTGAATAGCTTATAAAAGAATCTGCCTACATCTCCAGCTTGGCGAAAATCGATAAATTACTAGGATGCATATATTTGATGCATATGCATCATCCGTTAACCAGTGGGAAAACAAGAAAGTTTTTAATATAAAGATATTGGAAAAAGATAGAAAACGAAAGAAATGTATGGGATTATGAGTTAATGTTGGAAATAAAAGCAAGACTGTTAGATTGAAGGTGAATTTCTTCGAAGTTAATTAAAGAAGGAAGAGGACTAAGACTAGATGCAGCTCAAGCAAATCTATTTTGACTTCAATCTATCAATTCAGAAAATTCATTTCAACTATGCAAACTATTAGCATATGAATATCAATCTATATTAAAGACAAATCGAGTAAAATGATGGTAAGCAATAATAAGCATAAATTAAATAACACACAATTTTGACCAATTAAAATGTAAGCATCACATATAAGCTAAATTTCATCTAAAAGTAATAAGTGAAACATAGAACTCTAGAAAAGGAATACTTAGCCACAACAACAACAAACGTTTATCCCACTACTTCAGGTCAGCTACATGAATCCTTTGTCTCCATTGTATCCAATTAAGAGTCAATTTTTTATTTAAATCTAATAAAAACGTCAATTTTCACTCTCTAACCAAAATCTTTTTAGGTCAACCTCTACCTTTCTTAACATATTCTTAACATATGTTGAATCTAATACATCTACTCTCCTAACATGGTCATCAAAGGTCGAAGTTTTATGTAACCAAACTAACTAGGGCAACTCTCTCTAATCTTATTTGCCACTAGACCTTCTCCAACCTTTTCACGTATATACTCATTTTATATTCCATCTCTAAGTGTAAAGCCACTTATCAACCTGAACATCCTCATCTATGCAACAACTTAATTTAATGCTTCTCTTTTAACGACCAACATGCTGCACAATAAAACATTACAGCTGCCACCACCATCTTATAATTTTTCCCTTAAGTTTGAGGAATACTTTACTATCACACAACAGGCTCAAAGCATTCCTCCAATTCAACAATACAACTTGAATTCTATTAATCATAATCCCTATTTATTTCACCATTGTTTTTGAACAATAAACCCAAGATATCTAAAACATGCACTTTTTTAAATGACTTGATCACCCAATGTCATATTATCAACACTAGATCTTTTACTATTACAATTACACTCAATATATTCAATTTTAGATCTACTCAAATGAAAACCATTAGATTCTAAGGTTGATCTCCATAATTCAAGTTTTTCATCAACTCCCTCTCTAGTCTTATCAGCAAGAAGAATATCACCAGCGAAAAGCATACACCAATGCACATCATCTTGCAAATGTCTAGTAAGATGATGAAATCTGTTACAAGACAGTACAATCTCTAAGAAATAGCTGTTCCAAGACTACGTAGGAATTTCAAAAGTGATAGGAGCAAAAACTTTTAAAAAGAGAAAAAAAATACAAAGAACCTGAACAACAATTAACCTTAAAACATGAGGATAAGCATGATCTAAGAACACAGCAGACAATAGTAGTGAGAAAAAACCCACCATGAAAAACAATAACCTTAAAATTTTAGCATCAAATTATAAGCTGAATTTCATCTAATATCAGTATGAAGTAAAACAGAGGACTCTACATAAGAAATACCAAGCAACAGAACACTCCAATTTCAAAAAAGCAGTTACAGGAGGACGGTGAGGAGAATTTAAAAAATGATAAGAGTACAAACTTCCAAAAAAAACATGAAAAACCAGGGAACCCTGACAACAGGTAACCTTGCACCATGAAGATAAGAATGATATGATAACTGCATGGTAACAATAGTGCTGGAGAAAAATTAGATAAAACTACCAAAAATGCAACTAGCAGGAAGAAGTAATTCACCAAAGAGCAAATCTAGGTAGAAGGTTGAGGCTTACCAACGCCAATGCATATTGAATAACATGACTGCTGAATGCAGCTCCTTCTGGCTGCATAATAAGAAGAAAAATATAATAGTAAGCATTAAAAGCAATTAGAACTTCCAAACAGAAATATCTGCACATTCATCAATTAATTTGAGAGAAACATCAAATCAGGTTCCAAGATGATTACACGGCATCCAATAAGACGATATAGTAATTGTTGTAGTGCAGGCAACTGTTCTAATAACTCCTCAGAATTCAATCCTCTCGTTCTACTGTGACCCTGGATAAGGCTCGTTGGTTTTAGTAAAACTTGCTTTAAATAAAATGTAAAAGAAAAGCATAAACCGTATGCTTCTGCATGGAAATTTAAATGAAGAAATAGCACTTTGGCTGCCCGCACCTTTTCTGACCCTGGAACAGGTTTTTCCAAGTGTTCAGCTTCAACGTCATACTTTAATAAGCGAAAGCATTCCAACCTTTCCTCCAAAAATAAAGCATAAGTTCGAACCCAAGCAGAGCAATCCCAAGCTGCACAAGGTGATGAGTTATATTATTCTAAAACTACGACAAAACCCTACAAGATTGTATTATTGAGATGATATAAAGTGAATGTAGTAAACCGATAGGGCTCGAGTCATCCTTGAAGTTTGATAATTGGAGAATGCCTGTCCTCAAAGAGAAATTCAGAAGCTCTTCACGGAAAGTTGGATCGCCCTCCCTTAGAGACCTATGTATAACAATTAGTGTCTTCAGAGCTACCTGCACAGCACCAGCCACAGACTATCACAAAGCATATATACAATCATAGAACATAAGCATCGCATTGAAAGGAAAGATGATAATAAAAGTCTGGATTAGGAAATAAGTTTACATTGTCCCAGTCCAGATAGCATTTTGAATTGCTGCATCTTCTAAAATGATAATGTCGCATAAAGCTTTATATTTATTCAATCACTAATGGAAACTTCTAAATATATTCATTTAATTTAGTGTTGATTGTTGATACCGTTGAAGTGTGGCCCACTGAATCAAGGTAATAGAGTCAGAACTTTTCTGTCAGAGTCAGAATAAGACGATCAGAGAGATGGTTGGTCGGGCCATTTTGTTGTGTTTAATGTAAACAACCAAATTGGTTTCTTAAAATATGGATGCGGACAACTTAACAAAGGTAGTGGGGATCATCCATAAATTGGGAGATATATACAATTTGATGAACACCTGGGGATTCTAATTTTAAGGTAACTTTTGCTTCCTACTTCAGGTCAGTATGTTAAAATCCACTTAAGCCTCAAAAGTGGAACCTCCAACTCCTGATTTGCTTCCAGACATTTAACTTGCCCACTTCCTTGACATTGAACTGTTTCTAGCATCTGCAATTGAAAATCTAAGCATTTTCTGTCTAAAAGGAAGCTGGCCAAAGCTGTTCAATTAAAAGAAATGAAAGAATAATCAAAGCCTTTAGTGACCTTAACATGAAGAAGTTCAAGAAATTTTCAGGAATTTGTAGCATATGAGGTAACAGAATCTGAAAGTTTAGTGAAACTAAGTTTTTATAATATTAGATCCTTGAATTCGATAAAGGTCTGCTAGGTTGCAAGTATTAAACTCATTCATTTTGATAAAACTCTAATTAGCACCAAACCACGTCAAAGGCTTCCTCTACGACATCATACGCCATCACAGGCAACTGTGCCATTCTATTTTATTTGTACAAAATAGCTTCTTAATGACCTGAAACAAAGTTTTATTGAAGGCTTCAATGAGCCGATTTACCATTAGGTAATAAATGGTAGAGTAATGTCAATCACTATACGTCACTCAAAAAATTGTTGGGGAATTTCCAGCATGAGGTAACAGGATTTATAAGTCCTTGAATTCATTAAGGGGATATATGGTGCAAGTACTTTGCGTATTAAAAATACAATGTATTCTAATTAGTTAGGATTGTTTGGTTGCTTGTAAAATAAAAGCAGGGAACTTTTTTTTTTCATTTGGACTGATTTAAAGTTTAAAATTGTTTGTTTGCTTGTAAAATAAAAGCAGGGAATTTTGTTTGGTGTTATCCTTTTTTTTAAGGCAAAATAAGCATACTAAGGTATTTTAAAGTCCATAGAATTAGTTTATACCAATTTGATAGGAAATACTTGAGTTCGCAAGTAATCATATTGGATTTACTTGAGTTAGCAAGCAAACCTAATCAATAATTAGTATAAACCAGAGAGAAAACGAAAGAATCGTGGTGGAAGAACAAACAAACGATATCAAATCTTATAACAATCAAAGAGAAACAAGAACGAAGCAAATATACAAGAGATCCTCAATTCGAGAGGAGGATCGTCTCTCCCAAATCTCTAGACAAGATTGTCTAGAGCTCAAGCCTCCAAGAAACCCTAATTTCAATCAATCAAAAACCTAATCCTCTCTAATTCCCACATCCCCTTTAATACAAGATCTTTCCTAATTTAATTTCCCTCCCAAACCCTAGCCGACCACTCCGTTTGAATTTTTCATTCACTTTGAATAATGGGGCCCGCCCCATTAGGTGGACCAAGCAGAGGAGGTGGAGGCTTCTGCCTCCTATAGACCAGCAGCCCCCTTTGGGCCGGCTGGATCTGGACCGGTTCATTGTGAACCGGTCTAACAATTTCCTCACACCAAACACCAATATAACCAAACCACATGCAAACATTTTACTTATTATTCCTAATACTTGCGACTAAGGAAAACCTAGGGTTTTTTATACGAACACCATAACTCAAGCAAAATTTTGCAAATACTCTGTTTACCAAGATGTTATTGAGGATAAATTATTTATAATTGTTGTGTCGATTGCAAACAGCACAAGCTTAATATGAATGAGGTTAAGTTCAGCAAATGAGCTACTTAACATAGATCTAACAGCAAAGTAGGACTGTAGAAGAAAGGATGCATAACTTTTCGCCAAACTAAGAATAGGATCAATGATGATGATTTATTTCAAATTGCTTGATTGATGTAGACACATTTTAGATTTGCAAAACAAAGATATTATAATCTATGTTAAAGCCTCTTTGATAGGTAGAAAATAAATCTGTAAAAAAATAAGGGCATTCTGAACCCAAAATCATTGGATAATTGGCATGAATCAATTGAAATAGAAATTGGTCAAATAAAATTGAGACTAGAATCACCATGAAGAATTGGTGCCCTATTCCTTGTATTGATGATTTGTTGGACCACTTATCACATTCAAAAAAACTTTAACTAAATTTGAAATCAGGCTTGAATTGGGGACAGCCAATCAAAACATACTTGAATCAGTTCACCATGTATAAGCATAAGTTTAGAATATGCATGAACAAGTCAATTTAAATCTTAATGCAAAGTTATTTTTAACTAAGTGCCACCGTATATTATGAAATTTTTTCTTAGATATAAGTCTTTTCAACATTTTATATGTTATACAAATTCTTGTACAAAAAGTTCCTATATCAATGTGAAATATCCCACCTTTGTGCATGGTTCATCTTTTTCACCACTAGCTTATCATGCTTTTCCACGTGATTTCTAGTCAGCTCGGTTAAAATTCAGTCTGGATCAAAATTGAATTTGTCATGACAATGTTAACACAAACTGAAATATATTTACTAAAGTTTGGTTTGATCAAAACTCAACACATTTGATTGCATGTCCAAGGAGACTGCTTCAAACTCAACTATATTTGATCCGTTTATTGAAGAGGACACAATTCTAAGGGAATTCAAAGCAAGTATTTTCAAGAGTCAAATGATGAACATTTATTATTATTTGATATATGCTTTCTTAACACCAACTCATTTAACCTTAGCTATCAATTGCAGTAGTTTTTTTGGTAATGGTTAACAGTGTATCACATTCCATTTAAAATATCTAGAAAAATTATGCATCAAAAAAGCACTTCAAAATAGTTGATCACAATTTAAAATTTGACATGCAGACCTTCACTGAAGGTAATGATGATGATATGAAAGCTCGGATATGTTTAGTGGCGATGATGATTATGATGATCATTATGAAAGATGCCCTAAACATAAAAGAAAATTTTTTCATCAACAATTTATACAAAATAACAAAGGATTAACTAATGAAAAACTATAACACTAGAGGTACTATGATTTCATTTGGTAAGACGATCAAGGAAACTGGAATAACAGCATGTTTTTAAATTCAAGCATGAAAATGGCTAAGATGACATTCACGATTCCAACTACCATCATCAACAAGCTGGTTGTTTAATGAAAAGGAATATGAAAAGTTTCTCTCATAAACCAAAGATTTTACGACTTCAAATTTGTTTTGTTCTTAGCAAGGTGATAATGTTTGATAATTCACTTCAAGGAAGAGGCATTCTCTTGAAATATCAACAACAATAAATGCCGTGAGAAAAAATTGAGTTTGAGGTCCATGGATCCGGAGAATTAAGATAATTTAATGGATCAACAGAAACAAGTATCTGTGTTACTTTTTAGAATTCCAATGCACTCATGTTTATGACTCTAAAACGGGAGAGCAAAAAATAAAAAAGCAACGTTATGCATGCACAAGCTGCACTATCATCTCAAACTTTGAGCAGCAAATGAATTGAAAGAAAAAAAAAAAAGGGATCCAAGAAAAGCATATATCGTGAGGCATGATAAAACAACTGCAGTGATACTCAAATATATTTCTTAAGAAAAGAATGTAGTAAGTTAGGGTTAAGCAAGCGCACCGTCCAATTGTGAGTCTTAGCTAGCCGTCTCGCAAGCGCACGTATACAGTATGCCACGTCCGCCCGCGGCCGTGATATGACTGTAGCCGCCAAGATCTCTGAAAACAAGACCGATCACAGAAAACAACGAATTAAAAAGCAGAAGAATCATAAACCTAAGGATCACCCTCATAAAAGAGAAGATGGGTATGACGCACTTCTGATGTGCCTCTCCTTGGGCGGACACTCGACGTGATTCGTGGCCTTGACGATGGCAATATCCAACTCCTATCGAGAGAAATCCGGCTTGCAGGTTAATAAAGATCTCTTTGAAATTACTATGTTTAGTTTAAACACTCACCGGAAACTTTGCGGATCAAATTTTCTAAATTAGGAAAAGGGTTTTTCGAATCAAAACCTTGAAATCGCTGTTGAGATTGGCGAGACCAACGGTGGTGGAATCCTTAAGGGCTCCGTACGCCTTCCGCAAACTCTGCATCGTCGCCATCTTCACTTCACGGCAGCCCCCTCTTCCGCAGCAATTGCAAGACCTCCCACCACCGATTACCTTTATAGATCACTCGTATCTTTCTCCTGCCTCGCCGACCTCGACGACCGGTTTTCGCTAGCGCTTGCAACTCTCTCTGACCGCAAGCTCGCGCTGAAACCTGAAACTCTCCCTATTTCCCTCTTTTCCTTTTTCCCTTTCCCTCTCTCTCCCGCTTGTGAAACGCTGGCGAATATCGACCCACTCTGAACGTTTCACTGGAGAGGAATTTTTAAATATTAATAATTAATAGAACCCTTATCATTATTTTATGCATAGACAAACATTGACTCTATATCTTATAGTATCTAAAATTAGAGAAATATTTTATATATATATATATATATATATATATTTAAGAATAAATTATTTTTTATTTATACACTGACTATTTATTTAAGTACATCATAAATAAAGTTAATTTAAATTTATTCAAATTCATATAATTCTAATATTTGTCTGCTCGCACAATATTATGATTCATGTTCATGACAAAGCTCTCATTATGAATCTCATTCTTCGTGAACTTCAATCTTGAAATCTTGTCCTCATTCATAAGTCATTGTTTGTATCAATACTCTCATCAAGCTCCCATCACTAAATCCTATTTTCCTTCGAACATAATTGCTCTCTATGTTATCCTCTACAAGCTCAGTTCATGAAACCCTTTTCTCCTTCAAACTTTGTCACTCTGGTTGATGCCCTAGAAAAATTCCTAACATGAAATTCTTTTTTTTCCTTCACCTGGCGTTGCTCCCGTCAGCGCCCTCGATAAGCTCTAGTCTAGCGCAAACATGACCTAATGTTCTAAACAATATGAAGGAGCGCTTGCATGCATTCACTTAGCACAAACATTTTTATGAGTCTAATCATTGTTCAAACTAGATTCAAGTCGGCTCAAATTATATTCAATTTAAAACCAATTTCATTTAATAAGAGATTAATGTTTTATTTGGGATAGTTTTTTGTTGCTCTCTAAAACAACTTTCTAGTACAAAAAAATTTTGAATTAGAAAATTTTATGCTAGAAAACAGTTTTAAGAAGCAGTACAAAGCCTGTCCCAAACGAGACCTAAATCTAAAGTTCATAGCAATTATTTGGGCACATTTTTCATTAAAAAAAAAATAGAGAGCGGAAAATTTCTACATTTAGATATTATAATGCATATATATGAGTTGACGGCAACAATAAAAACATCAAATTATTGTCAGGTCTCAAACCCTCGATGAGAAAAAATAGAGAATTGTATTAGATAGCCGATAATCCTCATAAAATTTATTGAATAATCATGAGATATGAAGCCAAAATTAACCCCAAAAAAAAATGAAGTGTCTTCTTACTAATTTATAATTGGCTAATTGCTTCCTTAAGTTGTAAAAAGAAAATATATTTAAAAAAAAAAGTTGTAAGAAGAAAATATGTGGGACCAAAAAAGAAAAAAATGACGTGTTTTCTGATGCAAGCTGGAAGTCTGCATTGACCATGGTAATTTATGTAAACATTTGCAATTTTGCGATCCAGACCCAACGTAATAAATGAATATGTGGGTGTTTCTCCTTGCTGCGCTGCGCTGACCATATAATATGCCTACAAATTTCTTTTGCAAAACGATTGCGTCAAATTTGGATGGCTGAAGATATTTTAATAATATTTTTTTAACTGGTCCAATTATACAAATTTCAGCTCAACGAAGTCTTAAGTATAGAAATATACGCCTATACAGGCGCATAGGGCTAGATAAGTCACCAAAAAATTATCCTTATCTCAGCAAACTTGCAGTCAAGCTAAACATCTTTGTAAAACAAACTTAGCAAAACAAAAATCGGTCAAATTCGAGCCCAAATAAGCTCGAATAAAGCACGCTAGAAGCTTTACATGATTAATTGGATGACGAAATGATATCCAAATATAGCATGATTAGAGTCGAATCAAGTGGCTCAATGAAACAAATCTAACGAGCTCTCTATCATTTAATTATGTCATCGTTAAGGCAGTTAAAAGTTGAATGAACAGTGTATAATCGGGGGAATCAATTGGACCATCCGATAGAGCACTCCAAATTTGCCACGAATTTTCTTTATATTTACGGAACTTGTCACTCTCAAAATATGTAAATAGATCCTCACTCTCTACATGAGGAGGACCTTTGGCTAAAGATTGGAGAAAACTCTAAAGCTTCAATCATCTTATAGCTCCTCCGGGTCGCATCTCCAGTATCACCTCCCGCTGCCATCCCCCGACCGCAACCAAACCTCCTCTGGGCAAGAGGACCTCCATCAAATTTTCACCCAGTTGTTGTCCCCAAACTTGTGAACTCTTTTGTCTGCCGACTACGATCCTCAGACCATCATCATCCGACTACAATCCTCAGACCACCATCATCCCATTACAGTCCCTTACACCTCCATGTTGGACTACGGTCCCTCCGACCTTCATCGTCCACCGACTACAGTCCCTTTGACCTCTGTCGCCAACTGACTACGGTCCCTCCAACGTCCATCGCCCGATTACGCGCCTTCGACCTTAGTAATCCAAGTACGATCTTTCAGACCTAAGTTTCCTGTCGACTACAGTTCTTCCTACCTTCATCACTCATCGAATACAATCCCTCTAGCCATCTTTCCCGACTACAGCCCTTTCAACCACCATCGTTCAACAATGATCCTCCGACCTCCATCATCCACTGACTAATGTCCCTCTAACCAGTATCGCCTGGTTACGATCCTTCGACCTTGTCATTTGACTATGTCCATCAGACATACGTCCCACGCTGATTGCGATCCCTCTGACCACCATTGCTCGACTACAGTCCTGCAACCACCATTGCCCGACTACGGTCCTTTTAACCTCCGTCGCCCACTGATTATAGTCCCTCCAACCTCCGTCACCCACCAATTGCAATCCCTTCGACCACTGTCCCGACTATGATCTTTTTGACCTCTGCCGCCAATCGACTATGGTCCTTACATCCACTGTCGCCCTATTACAATCCTTTAGACCTCCATGCCCGCTAATTATGGTCCCTTTAACCACTATCACCCAACTACGGTCCTTTGACCTCAGTCGCCTGAATACTATCCATTCGACCTTCGTCATTGGCCGACTGCAGACCCTCCTACCACTTTAATCTAAAGTACGATCCTTTAAACTCAATCTCTGAACTACGATCCTATTAAGCTTAAGCTCAAGTCCGAGGTGACTCGTGCTCAGTTGGACTCATTTAGACCCCTAGTTAAGCTTATATGGGCTCTACATGATTAATTTAACAATTAACAAATGACACTCATACTAAAAATAGAGATTGATGCTATTTTGAGTGGATTTGATGGTAGATGCAGATGGCACTCATATGAATGAGAATTATTGAGATACATTTCAGAGTTGGAATAATTCACCATTTAAAAAATAGTCTTAGTAGTTTTACATTTCCCTTAACTTATATTTTTTATATTAACGATTATATTATAAAATATATTAAGCTATCCTCCCATTATATCACCCTTCTGAAAAGAATCTTATAATTTATTTATTCCATGATTTTACTCGCCAAACTGAAAATCTTTATTTCATTTGCGCCATAGGTAGCTAGAAGCCTACAATGCATGAGATAAGAAGTCATTATCAGCAATTACCTTGGTGGAATACAGCTTATAGGAGATATATTATCTCTAATAAAATAATATAAATCTAATATTCTATAAGAGATTATTGTACTTAATTGTTGGGTTGGTTGAGCAAAAGAGCTAAAAATTGTATGATATATAGATACCATGCTGAGGTGATATCGAAGTAGGTTGGGTCTATGCATGCCCTAATTGAATTAACTTGACTCAACGCAATTCATTAATCGATTTCATGGCTTCGATTAGAACATTGTTTGCCATAGGAAAAGTAGGATTTGGGTAACAATTTTGTTAGTGAGTTTGACTCCCTTTAGGCCTAATTAGGGGTGTTAAATTCGGGTCATGAGTCGGGGTCGGGTCGAACTCGGAACTGATCCGGGTTCAAACGGGTCAACCCTAACCCAACCCGGGTAGATAAACGGGTCGGAAATCCGAACCCGGACCCGACCCGACAAGTTGTCGGGTTGACCCGACCCGACACGATACCTGAAACGCACGGACGCGGTCGGGCTAGAGCGGGTGCACGTGGGAGCAAGTAGGCGCGTGCGTGAGCAAGGGCGGGTCTGCGCGGCTGGGCGCCAGTGCTGGCAGGCTTGACAACTTCGCGGGCAGGGTTCGGGCGGTGCGCGGGCAGGCGGGGGCAGTTCAAATTAAACGGGTTCACGGGTTGACCCGGCAACCCGCCGGGTCAACCCGAACCCGACCCGTTTTTCAAATGGGTCGAATAAGGTATCCCAAACCCGACCCGTTTTGAAATCGGGACGGGTCCAATCCGGATTTTTTGGGTTGGTTCCGAGTCGAGTTTTAGTATTGTGTCAAATATTGACACCCCTAGGCCTAATTAGCAACATTTGTGATCTTATTAATAGCTAGCGGTGGTTGAAGAAGCATACACAACTTAAAAAAGTGTGATTTAGCCATTATTATTATTATATGTTTGCACTAATTTATTATATCATAAGCCTTCTTTTTTACATTCTACTTTATTATTTTTTTGGACTGAAACTTTAGAGCTCTCTATTGGAGACAAGGATAACATTATTAATGAGCTACCTGGCCATTAACCTAATGTTACGCAAAAACACAAAAAAGTGATTTTAACTACTCAATATAATATAACATAGATATTATTGTCCTAACATATTAGTGTTATGTAATGCCTAAGATGTTGTGTAAGGGTGGATTACAAAGGAGGCTCACACTAGCCTTTTCTCAAACTTGAAGGCTACATTTGATATTAAAAAACAATCAACAAAATCTATAATTATTGAATTGACATATTCAAGATTTTTTTTTCTAAAGTATTTAATGATAAATCTATAAGCCCTATTATATGTGTGTGCAATAAAAACACGTGTTTTTTTAACTTAATAGTTTATTTATTATATAATATCTACGAACTACAACTCAACTTAAATGAACTTTTAAAAAAATTAGCATATCCTTAATTTTGGAAAGTGAGACAACATATCACCAAGTTATCTGAATGATTTT